ACCATCGACGATTGGAGAAACTAACCAACGAAGGTACAGACGGAAGACTGGAAGGCACGACGCTGTACTTCGTCCACTTACTTTCCATCCCCACCTACAGTGCCTGTGGCCGTTACCGGCCGGTCAAAGATGGAGCTGTCGATTGAGGAGAGCCAACCATCGACGATTGGAGAAACTAACCAATGAAGTCGCAGACGGAAGACTGGAAGGTAAGACCCTGTACTTCGTCCACTTACTGTCCATGCCTACCTACAGTGCCTGTGACCGTTACCGGTTGGTCATAGAGGTAGCTTTCGAATGAGGAGAGCCAACCATCGACGATTGGAAAAGCTATCCAACGAATGTGCAGACGGAAGACTTGAAGGTATGACTCTGTAATTCGTCCTCTTACTCTCCATCCCTACCTACATTGACTGTGTCCGTTACCGGTTGGTCATAGAGGTAGCTGTCGAATGAGGTGAGCCAAACATCGACGATTGGGGAAAATAACCGGCGAACGCGCAGACGGAAGACTGCAAGGTAAGACTCTGTATTTCGTCCACTTACTCTCCATGTCTACCTACAATGCCTGTGGCCGTTACCGGCCGTTCAAATATGGAGCTGTCGATTGAGGAGAGCCAACCATCGACGATTGCAGAAGCTAACCAACGAAGACGCAGACGGAAGACTACAAGGTAAGACTGTGTACTTCGTCCACTTACTCTCAATGCCTAACTAAATTGCCTGTGGCCGTTGCCGGCCGGTCAAAGAGGGAGCTGTCGAATGAGGAGAGCCAGCCATCGGCGATTGGAGAAACTAACCAATGAAGTCGCAGACGGAAGACTGGAAGTTAAGACCCTGTAGTTCGTCCGCTTACTGTCCATCCCTACCTACAGTGCCTGTGGCCGTTACCGGCCGGTCAAAGTGGGAGCTGACTAATGAGGAGAGCCAATCATCGACGCATACCCTTTTGTAGTACACCTAACTGTTGAATTTTGCTGATGTGTCAAGCCGGCTGCCCAATGCAGTCGGAGACGATTTTCCGTACTACGCAGTATGTCTTGTGTATTGTTCTTTTCCTAATTTGGAGTAAATGTTGCGTTTTGTTATGACATTGTGCCTTCTTACAGTGCCGCTATGCCTCTGGAATGGGAGAAGGTGTGATACGCAGTTGAGTAAAGTTCAACCAGAGGTCTGCGTTAGCGGATAGGTGCCTATGGATCACTAATGGATGAGTTGAACGGACGTTGTTTGTGGGATGGTCGGTTATCTCTAGCAGTGGTAACGGAGCCATCATCGCACAGTAAGGATTGCTGCTGATCGACCACCCTGGAGGCTGGGTACGTGAACATGTTTACCGACGTAGAATAATGCAATGACGTCCTCTAAGCCTCGTCGATTAACCATTATGGGACATCAAGTGAGTGATTACGGAAGGCCTTTAGAGCGGGAAGAGGGAGGTGCGAAGAGACTGTCTTAGGCCGCAGTCGGCCATGGTAGACGGTAAGTAGGAATCGGTGTAGCTGGTAACTGGCGACGTGAACCACCCGCTGTGAAGGGCATATCAGGTGAACTAACAAAGCCGGTAGGGGGGAAACAGTAGACTGTGAAACAGGCGGAAGTGGGAACAGCCGGTGAGGAAATTGTCGAATGCGGTAAGCTTGCATAAAGAGGAGAGGGACTGCCGGGATTTATGTTAGGACGGCGTAGGTGACAAGCCTTTGGGAGGGGGGAGGGAGGAAGGCGTGGGCTAAGCAGTGAGGGAGCGGTAGGGGTGTATGCAAATACCGCAGTTGTCTAAGAACGTGAAGCCTTTGGTAGCAGCTGCCCCAAGTAAAAGTCTTACGTTTGGACGGCGTAGGCTGTAAGCCGTTTGGTGTGGGGGGTGGGTGTTGCAGAATATGGGGAGGGAGTGCCGGAGGTTCATGTACACGCCCGGAAGTGGATGCCGGACTGAAAACGTTAGTAAACAGCTGACGTAAGTGGTAGTTTGACTGACGAAAGGGGAATGGTGGCACCTCAATTAGATGGACTGCGGAAAGCGTGGGAGGGGAGGCAAGTGGACCATGACTAGAAACCGAACTATGATGGCGGACAACCGCACGTAAACCACGAAACCGACAACCCCGCAGTTAACAGCGCAACTGCCGCGCAGGCGAACTGCCCAGAGGAGGTTTAGGAAAGGAGAAGTTTGTGTGCGTAAGGGTATAAAAGTGGCATTGTATATTGGACATGAATTATAGGCAATAGAGGCTGGGAACTCCACGTAAACCCTACGGAGCCTGTTCGGTAGGTGTGTTTAAGGGTTTTTTTCTGACCGTGGAGGCCGCAGGTCTTCCATCACGGCTACCTTACGTACTACTGTTTGTTCAGTAGGTGTGCTTGTGGTTTTTTTTTTGCCGCGGCGGAATCTGCTTCTTTAGCTCAATCGTCGGCGATTTCGATCTGCTCCTGGTCAAATATTTTTGAGGGCATTAGCAGATTTAACAAGTTCATAGTTAACGCGATGTTTCTTTACTTTCGTAGACGTCTCCTCGGAAAACTTCCATCGGCAGCATGTATCTAATCGCCGATTTCATTTTCCCAAAATTAACGCGCCAGACATATTTTGACGACTCTGAATTTCCATCGGGAGCAACTACAAGTGTTGATTTCAAACATTAATGTACTCTAATCGCACGAACCAAAGATTGAAGTTTAGCACCCATTGCACCAACGCTTTCCTTACTCCTGGTGACAGCAAAAGAACGGAATACACGCCAGAAGGTACTGTATTACCGTCTTGCAGCGGAATATATCATAGCAAGCCGAGTAAGTAACTCCGCGATAGTAGCAGGAGGCCCACGTGGCGGCGTGAAATAATTTCCTGCTGAGTTTGCAGCATGTTTCCTCGTAGTCGTCCAGTACAAAGTCACCATTAGCTTCTTCTGTCGGATTTCTGAGAACCTGGGGCCCTTCGAACTGCATCTGTTGTTATTTGTACCATCAAAGAGATACATATTCCTAAATCAAAGGTCATGGAAGACGAATTGGTTAAGACAACATTTACTTATGGGGAAGTGCGAACAGTGGCTGGGCTAACTCATGAAATATTAACCGAAATTCCGAAATGCGTTTTCGTCTTGAAAAGATTAATTAAGTAGGGTTATAAGAGAAATCATCTTGCAGCATAATTCTACAGTAATTCAGTTGCCTCAAGATTCCGATTTTCGGACGAACTTCTTTTCGGCTGCATACAGGAATTACACTCTGTAATAAATGATTATTTTCATTTGTATGAATTTTTCTCATTGATTTTCGATGACCGTGAAAACTCAATTACATTTCATGGAAAACATGCATTAAGACATCCATTCTTCAGCAGATTCGCATGAATTATCTTTTCGGAACGAAAACGCATTGCGGAATTTTGGTTGAAATTCCACGAGTTAGCTCACCTACTGTACACAAGGCGCCGCATGCAGTCGCCGAAAGCGTTCTCGCCAGTAAAGTTTTGTCTGTACCCGTCATTGTGTTGCCTAGATTCCATCTTGTGTATGCATCTATCGCTGGGCATCAGTGTCTGCTCGTCAAGCATAGAGAGAGAGGTCAGCGTTAATGGGCTTCGATCTCTCGGGACAGACCTCGAGTGGTCCGCGCAGCAAATCAACAAGGGATATAAGGCGGGGAGAAGGACAACACGACAAAACGGCGGAAGACGAGGCGTCGTGGACTGCCACAGTACCACCCGGTTAGACCAAATGCGACGTCTAACGGTGCCGAAAGAGATGCTCATGTATAAAACACATGAGTAACCATACGGTAAGAACAATGAACGGGGCATCCACTGCAAGTGATATATACAGGGAGCACAGGGTAAGAACGAGTGTCTTGCGGCTACAGTGTTAAAGTCTATGCGTGTGCAGTTGCACTTGGGGGCAACGAGTATGGGGGAACATTGAGTACATGAGACGGCGAAAATGAGGATCAAGGAGGTTAAGTAGAGCACAGGGAACCACAGAGCTCATTGGAGGGGTATCGGGGTCTGCAGCTTTAAGTTCCGCCATGCCCACGACCTCCCTTTGATTTTCGCGTTGGACATTGAAGGTCATCGTTCTATGAGGAGTAACCCAGAAAGGATCATCCTACGGTGGTTCAAGTGGCCGGCGGTCTCGATCACCTCGGATACAGACGTAAAGAAATATTGCCACGTTTATTCCAGGTAAGCCTATGTGAGGGATGACATCGGCGGAATCGGGGAATGTGTACGTATGAATTGCCGGAGACAGTGCAGGATGCTGGTAAGATCCTCGACTTCAACTCGACGATAGGCGAGATCATCTGACCGGGAAGTAGGACGTTAGCACCGAACAACAGTTCAGCAGCAGAACAGATAATGCCTGACTTGAGGCCAAAGGTGTGACTGAAATCCTGGCTACCACGACCTTTAGGCCAGCTCATGAATGGAAAGAGATGATGGACGCCAGGCAGAAGGAAGGCGTATTTTTGTACAGAATAACTGTAAAAGGGGTTGAAGGGATTTAGCAGCCGGACGAGGGCACGTCTGGCGGCGGGAAATGTGTCACAGTGTTCCAAGCCAGGACACGTAGGAAGCCAAATTGCGGGCTCTACGGTGCACTCAATCAGTGTCCTCATCTGTCTCTGCTGTCTTTGACTATGTCTTGACACAGGGTTCAGATGGGAGCGGAGGAGAGAGTGCGGTAGATGGCGTACGCACAGGTCACCGTCCCTGTCCCACACTGTAGTGGAGCACACTGTGGACACGAAACCCACGGTGGGGAGGAGGCGTAGGGGTATTCAACAGTGGGTTCACATGATGGTCGTAGTAGGTCGTTTACTTGTTTGCAAGTGCAGACTACGCCTAGGGTCCACCTGCTGGTACCCAAATCTCACCTCCACCGGCCTCTTTGGGGAGCCAAAATCGCAACCAACATCAGCGCCTACGCCCTGTCGACGACTAACCCTGAAGCCACAGGGGGCAATTCTACGAGGACCTGCACGCCCTCTTGGCAACTGTGTCAATGGCGGACAAGTTGATTGTCCTCGGTGACTTCAACGTCCGCGTCGGCATTGACCATGCAGCCTGGAGGGGAGTTCTGGGTCCCCATGTTCTCCGCAGCTCCAATGACAATTGTCTGTTCTTTCTCCGCACCTGCGCAGAACACCGCGTCATCCTGACGAACACCTTCCTCTGTCTACGGGAGCGAGAGAAGGTCACGTGGATGCATCATCGATCGCGTCAGTGGCACCTGCCGGACTATGTCCTCGTCCGGATGCGAGACTAGCGGGACGTGCAGTTGACAAAGGCAATTCCGGCTGCTGACGGCTGGCCGACCATCGCCTCGTCATCTCAAAGATGCGGATTTGCATACAGCCTCGCAAGAACCACAAGGCCGGCCATTCCCAGGCAAGCTGAATACTGCCATGTTGTCTATGGCTGCACACAATTTCCATTTCAGCAATGAGCTATCTCAACGCCTAAACAACCTTCCAATCGCTACCGTCGCCCCGTTGCCGCCACCGCTGACGAGAACGCCTCCATGGAGAATCGATCGTGTCAACTGCGGGACACCGTCAAGCCGACGACTCTGGCCGTCCTCGGTCGCGCAATCGGCCAACACCAGGACTTGTTCGACGACAATGACGTCGCCACCTGCAATCTGCTCGCCGAGAAGAACTGTCTGCATCAAGCCTACGTTGACCACCCCACTGACGACAACAGATCTGCCTTCTACCGTCGTCTTCGCCTTGTAGAACAGCAGCTGTGGGGGAATCGGACGCGTAGACGGCTCGCAAGACCGGGACGATCCAAGTGTACGCGGACCGCAACGAACAGAACAACTTCTTCGCAATCAAAGCTGTCTACGGTCCGCCAACAAAATGCACTGCACCCATTGTCAACGCCGACGGCAGTACCCTATTTACTGAGAAGACACGAATTCTACATGATTAACCGAGCGCTTCCAAAGCGTCCTCCAACGTCCCTCCACCATTTCCAACGTCGCCATCGCCCGTCTGCCGCAAGTTGAGACCAACGCGGGCGTCGACCTTCTGTCCTCTGTCCAGGAAACCATCAGGGCCATACAGCAGCTCCCCAGCGGGAAGGCGTCCGGATCGGACTTAATCCCTTCAAAGATCTACAAGCACGGTGGTTACCCCCCATATGGATAAACTGACGGCGCTCTCTCAGGAGATATGGCCTTAAGAAGAATTTATGCAGGAAATCAAAACGTCACGAGTGCATTTGGACTTGCATTTCTATACGCGGAAAGGAAACTGCCAGATCTGCGACATCCTGAATAACCACCTAGAACGGGGTCTTCTGCCGGAAAGCCAGTGCGTGGAACCACAAACATGATCTTCGCCGAGCGCCCACTTCATAAGAAGGGCCAGGAGATTCGAATCCGCCTGGATTCAAGCTTCGTAGATCTGACGAAAGCTTTCGACACAGTGAATCGTGTAGGACTGTGAAAAATCATGCAGAAATTCAGCTCTCCCGAGCGATTCAATCCGATGGTACGTCAGCTCCGCGATAACATGATGGCGTTAGTCAGAGGTATTTGCAGTGACCAATGGAGTGACGCATGGCTGCCTCCTGTCTTCAGTCTTATGTTCACTGCTATGCTGATGGATGCCTACCGTGACTACTGCCCCGAGATCCGTTTAGCCGGTAGGTCGGATGGCCACCTGCTCAACCACAGGCGCATACACTATCAGTCGCGTGTATCCAAAACCACCGCTCACAAACTTCTCTCTGTCGACGACTGCCCCTTCAACGCCACCTCCAACGCAGATATGAAAAGAAGCATGGATCTCTTCGCCGCCGGTTGCGAAAACCTTGGCCTGGTCGTTAGCACGGAGAAGACGGTGGCTATGCATCAGCCGCCACTACATGCCGACACTCTAAGACCTTCCCGAGTCGTCTGGAGATTAATTTGTCCAAATGGCTTCGGTTGTGCCGGCCACTCTTTTGTTGTTGGTAAGAAACCTGGTCAATTCTGTATGGACGAGGGGATTTGGAGTCGAAGGACAAGGTGCGGGCTCGACCGGGCCATGCACTTGCACCCTCACCAACTCCAGTCTTTCATCCTCTGTCTTAACACTGAGCCCTGGTGGTGGTTGAGGATGAGGGAGTACGGTAGCCGCAATGCAATTCCACATTTATTATAAATTAATCCACGCCCAAGTCACCGTGTCTGCTTCAGCTTTCTGTGGGGCACACCGAAGACATCGTCGGTAACGACGGTCGAACTATAGTGTGCGTGTTTGAGCATGCGTACGACGCTCTTGCCCTTAAAACGGCCCATGCGATAGATGCGCTGGCCTTCTTCCCATGGCTTTCGAATTTACGCCTTAATCTTCATACATCCTATTCTGAGGCTAATGGGGAGCGGACATACTTCCTCCACTTTCTCTTAAACACCCATATATCAAGAAATATGGTTATCTGATATCGATTGAGTAATTAACTCATCTTATCGTGCGCTGGAAGGTGCCGCCTACTGACTACCGACGTCAGTAGTTAGACGCGGCTGCATTCCTGCTAAGAAAGACCTACGCGTTTGTCCGAGATTCTTCAAGCGAGTCCATCGGAAAGGCATAGGTAGGGTCTGCAAACTCAGGTTTACTTAAAGTTAGACTGAAAAAATGGCATTCTACCCAAAGCTCTACCTTCCGTTTAAATTAAAGACAGCGACAATGCTACTTAAATCTCTACCTCTAGGTGGTATTCCGGGCAGAAACAACATCAGCCACTTCTGTTAAGCCAAACGACTCAGTGTAGCCCGCATGCTGCATTTTCCTGAGTTAGTATAGAATGCGGCGAGCACGTTTTCCACGGAAAACTAAATAACAATCATAATAGCTTTTTAGCCCATGTTTGTTTTATGCGTTGGCGGTTAGATGATACTTGGTAGCCCTCCTGACACCGCAAACTCAAAGCTGCCTGTCAATCTGGACCGGTGGTAATAGGAGCTATACGGGTGGGACAATTGAGTGAAGGGGTAATTGGCAATTGTAGTATATGCTAGGAATCGGCGCTCCTGGTAAAGTGGAAGCGTAATTTAGATTACGTGAAAAATACAAGGAAGGTATGGAAATGAGCAAGGAGACTTTGAACGGTGTGTGGAATAAATGCTTCCTGCCCTCAGATTGGAAAGAAAAGCAAGTGAAGTCGAACAACCAATGGGAGGAAGGCAACTGGTCCGAAGGTCATTCCGCAGTATAAGCGATAGAACTCCATCCAACATAATGGACAGAAGGACACGAGAGTCAAGCAGCGACACGGGGAACGCCACAACGCAAGCCGGGTAAGACTTTCATTTGAAAAATTTGTTTGGGCGGACGTGAAAATCCGCAAATAATGAGGCAGTCGAAAACTACCTCTGCTAATGAAAGTTGAAAAAGGATAGGCCTCACTGACATCGTTACCGCTGCCAATCCGCCCAAGACAGTACCTGTACAATGAATGAGGCAGTCAAGAACTACCTCTTCTTATGAAAGTTGATGTAGGGAAACCCTGATTGTCATCGTTACCGGTGCCCAGGATAGTATCTCCACAAAGAATCTGGTGTAGGTAATACAGCACGCATCCAAATTTAAAAGCATAACGAGAACGTAATCGTAGCTACTGAAATCAATCCAGTGGGTGCAATTGTAGATTAAGTGGGCACAGTTGCCAACTACCTCTTCTAATGAAATTTGACATAGGGTAAGCCTAATTGTCATCGTTACCGGTGCAAATCTGCCCAGGACAGTACCTGTAAAATGAATCTGATACAGGTAATACACGAATGAAGGCGAAATTTCGAGTTCCAGGTGTGTACATATTTGAAGAAGAAGAAGAGTCGAGCACCGGAACAATTCGTTTATTATCCTGAGCTTTCAGACTCGTACAGGAGTCCATCGTCAGAGGTAGTGGCAGAAACAG